TTGGTGTTTTTGGCTTGATTTGATGTTGTTGATTTATATTATGTTTTAATCTTGCTATGGTTTGTGGTCTGGATTTTTCTATTTCTTTTTTTTTTTTTCAATTGCTTGTCTTTCTTTCTGCTTCCTTGGAATCCTAGGGCCTGGTTCGAAGGAACCCAGGCCCTAGGTTCCTTCGAACATAGTCATGGGTCCTTTGAACCCAGTGGCAGAAAATTAAAAAATTTCTTTTTTTTTTTTGTTTTGTTTGTGAGTTTTGTTATTTGATGATGATGATGATGATGAAGCCACAAGGGTAGAGATTAGTTGAGATGTTTGGATTTGCAAGAGTTGAAGAAAGAGAAAGGAAAAGAGGAAAGGGAGGAACAAAAAAAATAAAAATTTGTTGGAAAGAATCCGAGGTGGATTTGCTGACATGTTAAAAATTATCCAAGTTGGTGCTGACATGTAAATTTATAACGGAAACAACGATGCACGTTTAGCACGTGATCGTTTGACATTAAATTTTGCCTCATTTTCTCAAATTAGAAATCATAAAGGGTAAAAATTCATATATTGAAATATGAGGGGTAAAATGCCTCAAATTCGAAATCTTGAAGGGTAAACGGGTACCTTTTGCCATAAAAGCCCTAATAGGCCTTAAAAGGTTAGGAAAAGGGAAAAAAAAAAAAAGGAGAAATTTGCCCTGCCCTCGGCATCAAAAAGTTTAGAAGAAAAAGGCAACATTAGAAATTTTCCCTATGTTAAGGTCCCCTTTAAGATTCCATGATTTTGCTATAGCATCACTATATGAACTCTAGGATTTGTTTTGGTACGACTTTAGGGTTTGCTACCATATGGTATTCTTGCTTTGTTTGGTTATGTTAGGAAATAAAGTTCTTGTCAATCTAAGTGGCTTTTTAAGTAATCAAACTATTTATTGTTTTGTTTATTTTACCATTAAAATCTTAAGTTTGTAAGATGTGTTTTTTTCTCTATTATAACCCTTAACTCTCAGCCTGAGGCTTGTTGTGTATGATTATTTCCTTCTAGGCTGAAGAGGGAATGCCCAATTACATAGCTAGAATAGTTGAATTGTTTGAAACAGTTGATAAACAACCATATTTTACAGCTCGATGGTTCTATCGGGCTGAAGACACTGTAAGAACATCTAACTGTTTTGTGATTAATAATTTAATATTTTATATAGCTTTTGTGTACTAATCTTGCAATTTCATACCTCTAGGTCATTTCCAAAGATGTTGCAAAACTTCTTGATAGTAAACAAGTTTTCAATTCTGATGTTAAAGATGATAATCCATTGAACTGTATCTTCTCAAAAGTTACAATTGTTCAAGTTGCAC